ATCATTTTTTCTATCTATCTATCTATCTATCTATCTATCTATCTATTTATGTATTTATCTCTATCTATCTATCTTTCTATCTATCTATCTATCTATCTATCTATCTATCTATCTATCTATCTATCTATCTATCTATCTATCTATCTATTTTTCTATCTATTATCTATCTATATATATCTATCTATTTCAGTTATTGTTATATCTATCTATCTATCTATCTATATATATATCTATCTATTATCATTATCTAAAACATCTATAGTGAATATTTCTGTCATTATCTATCTATCTATCTATCTCCACATCTATTTAGTCTATCTATCATCTATCTATCTATCTATCTATCTATCTATCTATATCTATAATCTATCTATCTATCTATCAAATCCATTATCATCTATCTATCTATCTATTCATCTATCTATCTATCATCTATCTCATTATCTATCTATCTATCTATATTTAAAAATTTATTTTAATCTATCTATTATCTATCTATCTAAAAATCTAATATTTATTATTCATCTATCTATCTATCTATCTATATCATATCTATCTATCTATCTATCTATCTATCTAAAACATTCTATTTCAGTCTGTTATCATCTATCTATCTATCTATCTATCTATCTATCTATCTATCTATATCTATCTATCTATCTATCTATCTATCTATTTCAGTCTGTTATCATCTATCTATCTATCTATCTATCTATCTATTTATCATTTATCTATTTTATCTATCTCATATCTTTCTATCTGTTATATCTATCTATATCTATCTATCTAATATCTATTTCATCTGTTATATCTATCTATCTATCTATCTATCTCAGTCTGTTATCATCTATCTATCTATCTATCTAATCTATATTTTTCATTCTACATATCTATCTATCTATCTATCTATCTATCAAAATCTGTTATCATCTATCTATCTATCTATCTATCTATTTAATATCTTATATCATCTATCTATCTATCTATCTATCTATCTATCTATCTATAATATCTCTGTTATATATATCTATCTATTATATCTATCTATATATCTATCTATCTATCTATTTATCTATATATATCTATTTATCTATCTATATCTATCTATCTATATAAATATCTATTTACATCTATCTCATCTATCTATCTATCTATCTATTTCAGAGAATTAAATCTATCTATCTATTCTAATTTCAATCTATCTATCTATCTATCTAAATATTTCATCTGTTATCATCTATCTATCTATCTATTATCTATCTATTAATATTTATCTATCTATCTATACATATATTATCAGTCTGTTATCATATAACTATCTATCTATCTATCTATTTCTATAAAATATCTATCTATCTATCTATCTATAGATTCTATCTATTTCAGTCTACAATATTTATCTATCTATCTATCTATCTATGTCATCTAATTTCATCATCTATCTATCTATTCATCGATATTTATAGTTATATCTATTCATTTATATCTAAAATTATCTATCTATTAATATTTATCTTCATTATCTATATATCTATCTATCTATCTATTATAATATCTATCTATCTATCTATCTAAATATTTATATGTTATCTATATATTATCTATCTATCTATCTGAAATAAATAAATCTATCTATTTATCTATCTTTATCTATATTATCTATTTATATATCTATCTATCTATTATTATCTATTAATATCTATTATCTATCTATCTATCTATCTATCTATCTATATCAGTCTATTATCAAATATCTATATATCTATCTATCTAAAAAAAAATCATATCTATATATCTAAATATCTATTCTAATATCTTTCTATCTATCTATCTATCTAAAAATTATCTATATATATATTAAATCTATCTATCTATATATCTATCTATTGTTATATATATATATATCATCGAATCTATCTATATCAGTCTATTATTATATGATATATTCTATCTATCTATCTATTCTATTTATAAATCTATCTATCTCAACATCTATCATTCATCTAATTTCGTTATGTTATCATATATCTATCTATCTATATATATATATAACTATCTATCCATATCTATATCTATCTATATATATATATATATTTAAAATTTGTTATCATATATATATCTATTATCTATCTATGTCTTTATCATCTATAAATCTATCTATAATCTATCTATCTATCTAAATATCTTATCTATCTAAAAAAATCTATCTATCTACTTGGATGGAATATTATTTCATGTTATTATCTAGAATTTATAAATCTATCTATTAATAAAAATCTGTTATCATATACGCATCTATAAAATAAAGAATTGCATTCATTTTTATCATATCATCTATCTATCTATTTCTATCATATAAATATAGATCATATTTCTATGTTATATCTATGATATCTATCTAGAATATCTATCTATATATTGATGTTAGTTGAAATATTTATAAATCATCTATTATTTATATATTTATATCTATCTATTTCTATCTATCTATCTAAATATA